GCTCTCCAGCATGCACACTGCAAGCCACATCTGGAGCTCTCCAGCATGCACACTGCAAGCCACATCTGGTGCTCTCCATCATGCACACTGCAAGCCACATCATCTCAACACCCTATAGTTTTACTGCCTGACAAGCCTACCGTGAGGAGAATGTTTCAGGCTGAGACTGTCACCAACAACTTTATAGGGCTTTTTCTTTCCTGGGCTGCTTGTTAAGAATGCCTGGCCACTGGGATGCCATGTCAAGGGCAGATGTGCCCAGTGGTGAACCCTGCAGACAACTGCTTTATCATTCTTTATGTTAAATAAATCAAGAGTACAGACAAAAGACAGGCTGAGAGACAATGAAAACGCTCCAAACCCTGTGTATCTCCTAATTGCCACGTGTACAGAGTTATGAATGTACACAGTGTAACTAACACAGAGTATGACACAATTTTTATGTGCATGTTTACGTACGTATGTGTGCATATTCCTGGGTCTGCAGGTGCATGTGTATTCATATATGTAGAAGCCAGAGGTCAACCTTAGGCACTGTTCGTTACTTCTCGAAACCCATTAAGTAGGATAGGCTGGCTAGCCAGTGAGCCCCAGGGGTCCCCCGTTTCCTTCTCCCCAGTGCTGGGATTCTAAACCTGTACCAGCCCCACCTCACCTTTATTATTATTTGATTCCTCTTTATGACCATCCCTTATAGCAGGAAAGTGGTTAGTTAATAGGAGAAATCAGAGACCACAGAGACAAGATGAGCAGAGGTTCCTGTTTTGGTTGAGACAGGGCTGGATCGACAGCAGCATCTCTTAGCCACTCTGCTCTCCCGGGGACTCCTGACAGTCTGGTTTCCACCGCAGACTAGCATGTCCTCAATCGACAGAGATCAATTCGAGCCCCGCTCCTGCCCGACAAGCTAAGGCACCAATAATACCTTGCACGGTGTGTTAAGGGACGTAATCAAGTGGATAGGGACTCATGTCAGTTAGACTTTGTCTCCTTAAAAATCAAGAGCACCCGTGGTAACGGAGGAGTTTTAACAAGGAGGAAAACCCTAGACAGTTGTCTCTAGGTTCTTCGCTACCGCTTCAAGGACAACCAGGAAAAGAACTGCTATTTGAGGCAACTTCATTATAAAATCATTTTTAATAAGCAATCTTAACAAAGAGAGGGAACGCTCTTGTGGAGAAGCCCTCCAGGGACCCACAGGCTGCCCACTTAAGTTATTAGGAAGTTTCACACAAGGGACCAAACAGCTATTTCACTGGCCTCGGGGGACAGAGTTGAGTCTTCACCTCATCTCTAGGGGCGCTGGTGTGATCCAGTCTAAGCAAGGCACAAAGTGGCGACAATCGGTTATGACAATGCCCCAACTTGGTGGGGATGGGAAATGGAGTTTCAGTTTTGTCAACACAAAAAGACAAGGGGCAAGGGAGACAGATAAATGAACTTAACGGTCTTGGCGATGGCTAAAGGAAGGTCACACGGTGGCCAGACCTGGCTGAGACCTTCCCTATTCTTTAAGAAGAACCACAGAAATCCATTTTAGGCAAAGGAAGAAACACTTACTGTGAGGAAAGATGGTAGTTTGCCCCCCATTTTTCCAGTCCTTTGAGGGAAAGATTCTTTGTGATGAAAAGGGCATAACCTAGTGCATTTCCCTTCATCTACCTAAGATGTGAGCAAGATTTGGAATTTGGGGTTCAAATTTTTATCAAGTGATTTGTAGCTGAGTTAAAAGGGCTGGAGAGACACAGGTTCCCAGCGTATCACAGGAGCCCTGGCCAATTAGCCCTGGGATGAAAGCAAGCAAGGAGAACCATTAGCCATGGAATTCAAAGTGCATATGCATTTCTTAAGCTTCAGGGCTCATTCCATGCCTCTGATTTTAATGGCGCTGCAAGGACTGGTCTTACAATCGGACCTTATAGCTGGGGGACAGAGCAGGAGAGACTGACTTTTTCTACTGTCAGGAGAGCCCCGTCTGTTTTGGCTGAAATCTCTCCCACCCACTAAGTATTCTCTTCATATAGCCCATCACAGGAACGGGCAGAAAAGCAGCTTCTAGCTAAGGCTTGAGGCTTTATCTGGGTTCAGAGAAGGGGCTGAGGCAGGAAACATCTGACCCAGATGATGCTAAGTGACAAGGCAGGAAAACAATGTGTCCAGGTCACAGAATGTCCCCATGCATTCTGTGCCCCCCCCCCCATCGGCCATGAGAGAAGGGAAACGTCCGTGTCTTTCCATTGCCCATCTCTTCCTCGGTGACAGTTGACTCCAGTCACACGGGCCCACACCACTGTCCTCAGAGCCATTGACTGACCTAGCGATCGTGCTGTGGCCATGGTTTTAGACAGAGCTTGGGTCATCAGCGGTGAGCTGAGCCCCCAGGTGTTAAAGTACAATACAGAAATGCAAATTCAGCCCTGCATTTTCTTGCAATACTTTATAAAGAGTCTCTCAGATCACGGGGGAAGCAAGGGGTGCCAGGGAGATAGCCAATAAAGTACTGGCCCTGCCAACATGAGGACCTGAGTCCAATCCTCAGAAGTCTCATAAAAAAGACAGCCATGGCGGCACATGCTCCCAGTACACAGACAGACGGATGCCTGGAGCTCGCTGACAAGTCAGTCTTGCCTCCTTGGCAAGTTCCAGGCTAATGAGAGAGTCTCAAAACTCAAGGTGAGTGGTGCTTAAGGAAGCAGGACCAAGGTTACCCACTGTTGTACACATGCACACACACAATCTTCAAAGGGAAGTGGTTTTTCTCCTGTAGAGTAAGCTATTAGAGATGGGGGAGGGGGGGAGGGGGGGTGAGGTGAACTCTCTACATGGGGCCTCACACAGTTGTAAGCACAGATTAGGAATTATGTGCGCCTCTGCTAGCAAAGCTGCCTGCTTCCTCCCCCTGCCTTCCTACAGGCATCGGCTGTTGTCTGCTCGGCAGCCTGCCTGCCTGCCTTCCCTCCCTAGGTTCTGGTATTAAATTTCAGGATTTTTCTGTTATAAAATCTTTCCACCCCCAAGGTAAAAACTGAAAATGAAAGGTGTGTCTATTACCTTCCTTTACTGAATTTAAACCACAATCTACCCCATTCTAGAACTTTCTTTTCGACAATTTACTGATTTATCTACCAGTTGTTCGTTTGTTTGAGACAGGGTCTCACTAGGCACCCTGGCCTGGCCTAGAACTCATAACCTCATCCAGGCTTGCTTCAAACTTTAACAACAGTCTACCTCCTTCCCTCAGCTGTCTAAGTTCTAGGAGCACAAGTATGTGTCACCATGCCTGGTTCAATTTTCTCTTTAGTAATTACACTTGGCTGTTGACCAAGACATTGGAAGCTAGAATTAACGCTTAGGTGGTTAACACAATAAAAGATGGAAGTAGCCATCTTTGCAATATTGGAGAAACATTTGCCCAAAGATGGAAATAGAGCGAGTAGAGAACCTTCTATTAGGAGGTACCTTGGGCTGTCAAAGACAAGAGGGGAATTTGCTTGGAAATAAAAAAAAAAACTTAGTTTCAACAATGTGCAGATATGGGCAGCAATTATAATCAAAAGTCAGTGGCAAGTTTTCGTGTAGTTGCTTCAGTTACTGTAGAGGGATGGCTTTCTTCACATCTCAGACACATGTGCATCTCTCCTTCTCATGCACTGTCATTCCTTGGCTGCAGATATTACAATCCAGACCAAATCCTAAATTCAGGTAGGATTAAGCATCAGCAAAACCTAGCTGCTATCTTTTAAAAGAAGATTTACCCTACGTTTACTTTGGTGTCTGTGTGTCTGTGCGTGTGTGTGCTGGTGCCCGCAGAGGCCAGGAGGGGCTATCTGATCACCTGGAGCTGGAGTTACAGGCAGATATGAGTTGCCCAATATGGGTTTGGGGAACCAAACCCCAATCCTCTGCAAGAGCAGCAAGTACTCTTAATCAGTGAGCCATCTCCCCAGGCTTGTAGCTGCTTATCTTTCAGATATATTCCACTCCCCAAGTACTCTACCTTGCAATCTTGTTGGCTTGGTTGGGTTAGGCTTCAAGGAAACCACAGTGTGCTGAATCACACTGCCTATATGGCCACTGAAGGTTAAGCATCAACCATCAGGTTGAGCCAAAAGAATGCGCACTCTGCATGGCACCGGCGACAACAGAAGGGCTTTGCTGCCTCAGAAGATCGGTGCATGCCATCAGACCTGCACATGGCTAGTGTCCGGGGCTTTAGATCTCCCGGAGGGACAGGAGCCTCAGAAGAGCTTTTCCTATCATGGGATCAGCTGAATTGTATCAACAGTGATACTGACTGTTCAGCATCTTTGAAGGATCAGGTTAGGATGTTCAACAGATGAAACAATGATCCTTTGAGCATGGGAAGGCTGGCTAGTTGCCAGCAGACCATCTTGGTTAGATGAATTTTCCCATATGGCAGGAATAACATTCTCCCGTCTGGAAATAAGTTAATCCTTCAAGTGGAAAAGCCTATCTATACATGAAAGAGTTATAAGATACAAAACCAAACCAAACCGGCAACAACAATGAAACCAACATCAGGGGCCTACAAGATGGCTCAGTAGGTATAGGAGATTGCTGCACAGCCTAACAACTTGAGTTCAATCCCCAGATCTTCAGAGGTGGATGGAGAGAAATGATTGTACAAAGTTGTCCTCCAATGTCTACATGTATGCCAGGGCATACATGCTTGCACACAGACATCACATGCATGCACACACATAATAACAACGAAAAACTAAAATAGAAAATGACTAAAACATAAAATAAATCCTCAGACTGTTGTATCAATAGTTATGTTGTGCTTGGCTTTCCTCTCTGCTGCAGAGTGGGAGAGCCACTCTAATGAAGGCAGTTGGAGCACACTAGTGTTCATGTCTTAGTCTAGTTCCAACTTTGGAATGGGAATGGTACAATGTCTACATCACAAAGCAGTGCCCATGATGAAACACATGAGAATTTGTGAAGTGCTCTAAAAAAGGTCTCTCACCAAATGGCTCAAAGGATGAGCCACTGCCCAGACTAAAGATGCCAGTGTGGTTCTCCCATACACAGAAACAGACAGTCTCACCTGGTTCCAAGTCTGGGCTCTGCCCATGACCAGTTGGGTAAGTAAACAAGTTTTCTGACTCCTTTAAGCTAAGTGATTCATTCTTCGGATACATTTTCTTATCTGAAACTTGTTGCAAGGGTAGAAGCCAATGGAGCTCATGAGAAGATGAAAGGAGATAATAGCAGTCAGCTTTAAACACAAGGTATGGAGGCCGAGAAGTGCCTTGTCAGTGGTACACACCACTGTTGGCTACAAACACGGGCACATCTGCTCTCAGTACTGTGCTGTTTTCATGGTTGAGTCAAAGGCAACAGAGACTTCTATAATAGATAACGATCCTCTCTCTTTCTCTCCTGTCCCATTGTCTCTTTCACACAAACATCTGGTGTGTGTATTTGTGTGGGTATGCGTGTGCACGTATGTGAAGAGGCCAAAGGTCAAGTTCAGGTACCTTCCTTGGCCTCTCCCCATCTTACTGTTTGAGACAGCGTTTGTCATTGAACCAGGAGGTCTCCGATTTTGTTAGACTGGCTGCCCAGGAAACCCTCAGGCATCCTCCTGCCTCTGCCTCTCCTCCATCAGGATTATAATTGTACATTGCCATACCTGGTTTTTTGTTTGTTTATTTGTTTTCCTTTTTAACACCTGGGTGCCGGGCATCTAGTTCTTATGCTTTCATGGTGAGGACTTTACCCACAGAACTTCCAACACAGACCCCAGCTCTTTCTTAAAGTTCAGCCCAATCACGAGAAAGAGTTTATTAAATATGTAATAAATCTATCAATCAGACACCAGTATCTTGTAGGTCAGATCACTTTGTTTTCTGCAAGAATTTTAAAGAGTCAATTACAACCTCAACATACCCTTGGAACCTATGTTATATATGAGACGGCGAGTGTCCTGGTTAGGTTTTTGTCAATTTGAGACAAATTAGGGTCATCTTGGAAGGGGAAACTTTATTTGATGAAATGCCTTTAACGGATTGGCCTATCGGTAGGTCTGTGGGACATACTGTTGATTAGTGATTGATGTGGGAGGGACCAGGTCACCATGGGCAGTGCCATTCTGGGGCAGGTGGTCCTAGAGAGTACAAAAAAAGCAACTCGAGCAAGCCATGGGGAGCAACCCAGTAAGCAGCCTTTCTCCATGGTTTCTGTTTCAATTCTTGCCTCCAGATTCCTGCCTTGGGATCCTTCCCTAACATCCTTCATGACTGTGATTGGGATGCATAAGCAAATACCTTTCTTCCCCAAGTTGTTTGGGTCATGGTGTTTATCAAAGCAATAGAAAGCAAACTTGGACAGAAAGGAACACAAAAAATGTTCATTCTAAATTCAGTTCATGAATCTGGAGTTGACTAACCAAGGAAAACCAGCACCAGGAGGCCTAGGCAGAAACATTTAGCGGGTACAGCTCTGTGTAGAGCGTTTGACAGCTGATGGAAATGCTGAACTTTCAGCGTTTCTGTGGAGTTCACAGGTCCTCACCCTAAAGTTGGGTTTTAAGACTATGAAAACTATCTGCCTTGGGCAAACCCACAGGGCCAAGTATAGTCCATTTATTTTTAATATGATGGGCCACAGAACAGCTTAGGAGGGTGTAGCTGTAGCCACACAGACTGACTCTAAACAATGAAGTCATTTCCAGGCTACGCCAGACACTTGGCTTCTTCCATCTAGTCACTCTTGAAGGGAGTAGGTAGCTATTGTTCAGGCCGAGAACAAAGGGAGATGACCAAGAGGGGCCGTTTCTAGGGTCCCAGGTGAAATCGTTGAATTTACTTGGTTGTTACCAGGTGTTTGGACCACAGCATCCAAACGCTGTATAGAAGGCCTCTGATTCTTTTCTTCTCTCCTACCCTTGAGCTAAACTTGCTTTCTGGTTATGAGCGGAATCTTCTGGAATGGGTGTACCTGGTATTTGCATCATAGGTTGTTTCCTGGGAGTATGCCCCTGCTCTCCATGTCTTACCCCAGCCCTGTCTCTCATCCTATGGAGTCTTTGAGGGTAAAGGACCTGCCAGCACAGAGCAGACAGCCCTGTGAGGCATGAGCATTTGCATTTTGGTCATGTCTCATCATCATCAAGCTTTATATATGGGATGACTAAGAGCTCTAGCAACGAACCTTCCAGTTACTTTATGAGCATGAACTTAAGGTTTTTCTGGATTGGCTGTCAGTGAGCCAAGTGATGAGAATAGAGGCTCACTAAAGAAGGCTCGTGTCTGTCTTGATGTCCTAACAAAACACCCTGTCAGCGCTTGAACTTCTAATTGCTGGGAGTCAAATGGGTGTCAAGGTAACCTACAGACTCCATCACCAAGGCACCCTCCAGTAGTCTTGCCAAGAAGGGTGCCTGCGTTTTACTGGGCTGTGAGTGAACCTCAAGTTTGAGGTTGCTGAGAATCTACAATCAAAGAGTGGCTTCCCTGGAAGGAAAACAAATCGGACAATGGACTTTTTCTGGTTCTTGGTTCTTCTGAGTAGATCGTAACAATTGTGACAAATTGTTGGGTTTATTTTGTGGGATTCACAAAGACCCAAGGAGAGAAGATTGAGGCCTCAAAACTCATTTTCTTCAACTCAAATTCAAAACCACATCTCTGAGGATAAAAAGTGAATACGGGGCTGGAGAGTCGGATCACTGATAAGGAGCATTTGTTGCTCTTACAGAGAGGACTCAGGGCACCCAGTAGTGGATGCCCAGCACCCACATGGCAGCTTACAACCACCTGTTAACTCCAGTACTGGGAGATCCGAAGCCATCTTCTGACCATCATGGGCACAAGGCACACGATGTAGTATATATATGTATATGTATATGTACATATATATATGCAGGCAAAGCATTCAAACATAAAATAAGAAAATATAGATAAATTGAAAAAAGGTGAATACATTAATTTATTCTATTTTAAATGATTGCAATAAACACTTTTTAAAGGGACATAAAAGATAGCACCTAAAAGGAGTATTCATATCTGTGCTAAAATATTTTGACTGCTGAAAGTCAGAATCTATTTATAAATAATACAGTGCTTTCATTATTTACTTTAGGTGTTAGTCGGTTACATCAAAAGATGTACTAACTTATCTGCAAGTAGCAATTTGTGTTAATACTCAAATATTTTGGAATATTTGGATATAATATTTCTGTTGGTGTGGGAGGGGAGGTTGTGTGGGAAACTAACAAACCAACTTGAGACTAAAAAGTCACACCTTCTTGACTGTTTACCCTTGAGTCACCTGTACTTTGTGGACATTTGTACTTCTCTGTGTGTAAATGGAAGTGGCAGGACAGGCTTAGATTGAAGAATAAGAAATACAACTAAAGATAGCAACAGGAAGAAACGCCAGTGCTCAGGTATCATCGGCACAAACTCAGGGCCTTCATGATATCCTCTGGGCCAGCCTGGTGGTGGCTTTTTTGGTGTCCATTTGGTGACAATTCCGTGATGCTGGATAGAATGGTCTGCTGCAAGTTTTCTTTTTCTTTTAAATGTTCATGTATGCGAATGGGCAGGTTTCTCTCTGTGTGTGTATCTGCCATGTGAATGCAGGTGTCTACAGGGTCCAGGAGAGGGCGCTGGATGCCCCTGGAGCTGGAGGTAAAGGTGGTTGTGAGTCACCCAGTGTGGATGCTGGGAACCGAAATCGGGTCCTCTGCAGGAGCAGAGCAGCCAGTTCTCTTACCCAATGAGCCATCTCTCCCCCTTCCCTTCCCATGGCAGGTTTTCAGCTCCGTATCTGTCCTTGTGTAACATTTATGTAAATACAGAACTGTCCAAGCAGAATTAGATTAGGAAGTCAGGAATGAATGACCAGTTGTCCTTGACAATTAAAAAACCAAAATAGCAGTTGATTCCAAGAAGAAACACAAGAAGCTATTATCCACCCAGTATTATTTCATCAGGGAAAGAAACCGGGACACTCCTCCTCACGGACAAAGTGCAGGCACTCTTGCGAGGGTCCCAGCAGCTCCGTGGGCTATATTATCACCATGAAAATGGCATTGAAATTCCACACCACAGTGTGAAATTGATCTAATGTCCCTAGCCCACAAGGGAAGAAGCTTTTTCATGTTCACATTCTAAAACCTAATAGCAACATTTCCTATCAACAACTGAAAAACATTACAGATGCAAGACTTTCTTAACCATTTTGGGCATGATGACTTAACATGAGAAACCCCCAGGCCTTAGCTTTTTCCCCTGAGCCAACCAGCCAAACATTTAGGCATCTCACATGTTCGAGGAGAACCTGAGTCTCTAAAGACTATGCTCAGGGACTTCCTGGAGGCTAATGAGCTCATGTCCTTTCATGGAATTTATGGCTCAACTTGCCCCAAACTGTGGCATGTGTATGTGCGTGCGTGCGTGCGTGCGTGTGTGTGTGTGTATGTGTGTATGTGTGTGTGTGTGTGTGTGTGTATGTGTGTGTGTGATGCATGCTCACACACATCTGAGTGTCACAATGATTCAGGTTCACTTTACGGTTCTTGCACCTCTGAGTGGCGCGCATGTGACTTGACACACTGGTCTGATAATATATTTGGCAACTATACATATTAATTTGTAAGTTGAAGAATCTCCTTTGGAGGGCAGTTAGAAAGCTCAGACTGAAATCACTAATTCAGGGTGACTTGAGTTGTCAACTATTATACAGTCAAGGCTTGACCAAGGTTTCCAGAACCCTGGCTAAAAATGAAAAATTTGCGTCAGTACAGAAATGACTTCATATACTTCACTGGCAGTGAAAACTTCTTGAAGAACAGACGTCAAGAGGAGTTAAGAGCAGCTGAAATTTAACGTCTTAAAAAAAGAGAAAACCCGCAAAGCACGTTAGGACCGTTTTCAAGGAAAATCCCGACAGATTCTAAGGAAGAAATCATTTGGGTGATGGCTATTAGAGAAAGAATTGATTGATTTTCTCTTTCTGCATACACTGTGGGCCCTGCAGAGATGCTAAGACCAGGATCATGAAGGACTATCTGCCAAGCTGGGTGACAAAAACAATCTATGTTCCAATGGCACAGAGGACTTCCGCACTCATGCACCTCGAAGGGTGACATCTCTCCTGACGCTCACAGACCTTTGTCACTGCCTGAGTGCTATTCTTTGCAACTTGTCATGGAGATATTTTATTTTGGGGCCTCTCCCCCACTCAGAAAAGTTAAATATCATCTTACCCATCCCCAAATGTCCTGACATCATCTGACCTAAATCTTTCAGTTAAGAACACTTAGGAACTTTGGGTTTTTCTACAGCATACTTCATGCTTAATGTCTTCCAGGGTGTCCAACCCGCAACCCTCGGGCCTCGTGAAGCCCAGGGGAGCTATAACTGAGGCCCAATACAAAACCAACAACTTACTTACAATATTATGGTAATAACGCAATTGAATTGTGAGGTTTTCAGGTGTGAACTTTGTAGACGACAATGTTGTATAATGGTGTCGGAAGGTTGGACACCCCAGACTGACTCTCGAGGTTAGAAAGAAACTACTATTTTGGCTGTAACTTTTAAGGTTGACAGAGATGAAATTCTTTAAGCTTTTGCGGAAAGGCCTACCTGGTGACATCGTCTGTTATTAAAGCATAATTTTTTTCCCTCACCAGTCACCACTCTTCTGCTGTCCCCTAGACCCCTCCATGAATGTCTACACAGGCCCATAAGTTATTTTCAGTGGCGGCAATACCTTGGATGTCTTTACAGATGGACTGTCTATACAATACCAACAACAGCTGGGGCCTCTGCCTTCCGTGACGTCATCATTTGAGGTATGCTCTTCAGAGCTAATGGAGTTGGGCTGGGTTCTTTGGTCTGCTTACTCTAAGAGCCAATCCACACTGCAGCCTGTCTGTAGCTTTCTGTATATGGCTAGGTGGCCAGAGGTCCACACCCCAAACCACCATAAACAGTAGGCACAATCAGCAGCCCCTGCTTGGGAGAGGCCCAGGACGGAGCTAGCAGAAAGACTGGATTACTTACCACCTCTAGAGTGGGTCCCTCCAGGCCAGGGACGAGCTCATGGGCAAGGCTGTGCAGGGAAGCTCTCTGTACCATGCCTGCCCTGCGGATATACAGAGGACTTCAGTGGCCTGCGCTGTCAATCTCTCAGTCAGCATGAGCTCAATTATGCACCAACAACAGCAAGAACAAGAACAACGACAGGACAACCCCCAAAAACTAAGGGTCACAGACTAGCCTGACTCGGGGGCGGGGGGACAGCAGCGACTGTGGAGGTGCCACCCTGGCCGTACACCACCTAGCTTGGGCTGGACCTCTCATGGTAGTTCAAACAAGCATTTCATGAAGACCCATGAGAGCCACACGGGGGAACTGCAAGACAGGGCCCTAAGTGTCAGGCAGCTTCTCATTGCCAGATACTTTTTTTACTTTAAAAAATAAAAATGGTAATTTCTTATATTTCCCTTTTCTACAGATACAGAAAGACAGACAGACAAACCCAAGAGCAGATTTTGAGAATCAACTGAGGCACAAGTGAAACTACTTTGATGTTACATAGCTGTTGCTCCCCCCCAACCAATGAGTCACGTGGAACTAAAAAAAAAATGTAAAAAGTTGAATGAAGAAAAATGTGGGGATATATATATCCTTGTCGTTCCTCTGTCGTGCCAAAAATAGATCCAAGGCTGGCCTTAGAAAGATGCCCAAAACACATCTCATAGGTAGCACGTATCTGTGGTTTGAAATACTCATCAAATTCTAAAGACTCCATTTGTTCAAAGCCTAAATAATATGCTAGTCAACCACAGCAACGAAGGCTGACTGCTTGCATCAGCAACACAGCGTTTGATCCTGAAGTGGAAGGCTCAGTCAAACATCACTGTTCCGACTGCAGATCACAGCACCTTACACTGACGTGAGCTGGTAAGTTTATGGTGGAATTTGAGTGAGGCAGTTGATGAAGGCGATTGACCCTAAGAAGTGGGATGAATACAGAGCATAGACCCAGCACACAGTTCCAGACCAAACTATCGATGCCAGTTACCAGGGCCCCCACGGATCACGTCCTGGTTGTGCAACAACGCCTCTATCCCCCTCAGTATCTCTGCTCCACAAACATAAGAACAAAACAACCTCATCTGTGAGCTAGCGGGAAGGAGAAGGAGAGAGAAGCTGAAAAGAAATCTGGGTTTTCTAGAAACTCTTCTGAGAAGGATCCAGAATAAGAGGTGAGCAGTAAGTAACTGATCCTCCTGGCTAGGTTTCGTGGCGTCTCTAAAGATTCGTGGCTTTGGAACACCGGAATACACCAGCTTATGCCTGACCTTGCTCATCAACACACACTCAGTACGAACAGGTGGAGATGTACCAAATCCGACCACTACAGGTTGAAAATATGACCACTATTGACCATGGAAACATTGGCTTATGCTCGAAGGGCCACAGCAGCCAGACATATGCGAATTCCAACTCTTCAGAAAACTTGGGACAGAAACAAAATGCATTACTTACATGTGTGTGTCTTCTTCGTTACTGAGATCCCTGGAAAAGAAGAGAAAGAGACAAAGGTCAAGAGAGGTTCTGTGAGGGTCTCTGTGGTCATAAGTCATGCAGTGTGTGCTTGAAACATGTCACCTTTAGCCAGTGACAAAGCTGGAATTGGCCACGGGACGTACTGCAAAGCCTTGAACTGTAAAGGACAGGGACCATGGGCTCATCCACTCTCTTATCAACTAACTGCACGGCTGACCGCTCAGTCAGCACAGTGCACCAGTGCGTGCCTTGCAAACACAAGAGTTCAACCCCCCAGAATCCATGTTAAAAAGTTGTTCATGTTGGCACATGCTTGTAATCCCTTTGCTGAGGAGGCACACCACATTCCTGGAGCTTGCTACCCATCCAGCCTAGCTTAATTGGTGAATTGCAGGTCAATCAGAAACTGTCTTCAAAATAAAAGTGGATGACAACTGCGGAACTCTACCTAGGGTGGTCCTCCACACACACATGCACATACATGGACCTGCACACACATGTGCACCCCTCTCATGTATGCACACACATGCATGCACACACACAAAGCAGTAGCACAGACCATAGTGAAACAGGAAGAAAAAGATGAGAAGAAGCTCATTGCCTCATCATCAGTACGGAGGGCATCATGCGAATAGGCCAAGAGAAGGCACACGAGAGCAGCCGACCCACGCTGACAAGAGTGGGCTGAGCAGTTAACTTGGCACAGCCACTGATTTCGAGTTTCCCTTTTAATGAAAATAGTCCTTCCTGCTCACTCAAAGCGTAGCTTTTTATGGTGAAGAAAAATACAACCCTGCGTACACGCATACACACACACACACACACACACACACACATATATGCACACAAACACACACACAACACACACACATAACACACACAAACACACACATATACACACAACACACACATACACAACACACACTACACACACATACACACACAACACACACATACACATAAATACACGTACAAACTCACACTGCACACACACATACACACATACACACACAACACACATACACATACATACACACATACACACACACATATATACGCACATGCATACACACACATGCACACACACATACACACACATACACACACATACACATACACACACCACACACACATATACACACATACATACACATACACACACACACACACACACACAATGTTATAGTTTATGCATCTCTATTTGTTCAAGTCCACAGGGGAATTGATAGCTGACGCTCTACAAATAGCATCGCTATGAATGGTGGGAGCACAGGGATGCATGAGTCAGCACCTTGGATGTCCCCAAGATGATTTACGGGTGACAGGTGACATGGAGAACTAAGCAGTCGCTGGCAAGTGTCACTGACAGAGAAGATGGCCACAAGCTCCCCTGTAAGCTGTCCCAGCTCTGCTTCAGAGAAGCTAAGCTCTGAGCGTCTCTTACGCTTCAGCCTTCTAGGGAGACATTCTTAGGGCTAAATCAGCTCAAAACCATCAAACTGCTGAAACCGTTTAACTTGTGACTAAGAGCTGTGGTAAGCCTTGAGTTGTGTTTTTTTTCTTTCAAGTTATTAAGAGAACTATTTAACCCTCCCTTGGAAAGTAAAAGGAGCTGGAAGCTTTGGCATCCTGCAGCATCGGACCTATTACTTAACTGTGGAACACATCGTTCGGGGCGGAGATCTGTTATGAAAACCCTTGGTAGACACGAAGGGAAAAAGTTTCAAAGTTGTGAGCCAAGACCAAAATCACACACTTGCTTCTCCAAAGTTTTCCAAAGGCCTTATTTAAGGAAGCTGAAATTACAGAGCCCAATTCAAATTTGCCCCCCACCCCCTTATTGAGGAAAACTAGACTATTGTTTTTCATTGTGTTGACTTGGGCTTTGCAAAGTGAAGCGAGATCCTTCTGTGAAGACCCTCAGAGACTCTTCAAGGGAACTGCAGAAGTGTTCCAGAAGTTTCCGGAGCCTCATTTATCCTAGGAAAGCCCCTTTTCCCCAAAGCAGCAGTGAGTAGCTCTTAAAACCCAAAGATGATTTGTGACTCCAGCTCATGACACCAGTGCCAATAAATGGATACATTAGTGCCTTTTCAGCATTACTGGAGAAGCGAGCATACTTTCCTTAGGAAATGGCACCTTCTGTAAAATCACTTTGAAGAGAAAGTGCCTAGGCTGTCACTCCTGATTATTCAGCCCCCCACACACAATTGGATTGAACGCAACCCCAAACAGACCTATCTATATTCGCTGAGTGTGGAACTATTTTTCTCCTGACATTCGAAGGCCTGATGAAAATCCCACCGCGCTGGGTTTTTCTACTTAAAGTTATTATTCGGCGTGATGCCGTGTTCTCATCAAATTTTTTCATGATGATTACACTCATAATAGATTTGAATCTCTTTCCAGGAAAGCTGCCTGATCCAGGAGGTCGCGTTAGCAGGCACAGAGCAGAAACTTCTGTCTTTTGAGAGAAAGCATGTCTTAGTCTTTAAAATGGCTCAAACTCTTGGTCTTGTAGTTTTGTGATACTGCCAATTAATAGTCAACATAGGCCAGCGGTGGGCATGCCAATGTTGAGGTTGCTAAAGGCAGCAGATAAAATGCAGAATGCCAGGTTGTGCTTGAACTTCTACTACGAACTTGTTTCTCTACATTCACATTTTACTGAGCAGTGTGTATTCTATCTGGCAACTTCGATCTATATAAATATCATCCCAAATTACATTATCCTTTACAATGAAGATATACTAACCAATAAAACTGAGAAGAGCATAAAGCCACCTCTCCTCTCAAGAGCAGTATGTTTTTAAAGGCTCGAGTCGTATTTATGGTACTCTAAGTGGGTATAGTACATTGTTGCTGTTTTTATGGAGGAGCTATATTGAAGACAGAATTCTGTTTCCCTGGAAAAGGCAAGCAAAAGCCACAGTGCAAACTCATGAAAGATAAATTGAAGGGAATAATTAGAAAATGTATAAAACTCTCCTTGTCCTCCTCACTTGAAAAAAGAATCATCTTGACCCCAAAGATGGCTTGAACTTGTCCCCCTTCTTTCTCTACGGGACTTCTGAGACTTTGTGTCTGTGACTCCACAGACATAAAAAAGGAAAAAGAAGATGATCTCTATATTTCACAGAAACCAAGGCCCAGGGAAACGTAATTAGCATATTTAAAGTTTCTCTGTGGAAGTTAGTGCTTGATGAGAAATGTGCCCAAGGCAAGTCTTTAAGACCCTGGTGTAGATAGGACCTTTAAAAAGCATGTCAAGAGGAGGTCTACTCCCTCAAATATGCCTCTTAGAAGTGAGCTGTGTAAATAATTTAAGCCTATGGGAAGAGTATTTAAACCCTGTCTCCAGCTTATTTAAACCAAGCCCCAGCTCAGGTTTGGGGGAAGAGAGTCAAACACACAAAGAAACTCCAGTCTCACCAACTGGAAGACTGAATCTAGAATATTCTAGAAGGTACCATTCTGCAGGGACTCCATCTGTTCCCATCCCCCTTGTATCACTGACATCGAGCTGTGCACCCCGCTTCCCCGGATCCTTGCCCTCTGCTCAGTCCCTGGTAGGAAAGTCTTCTTTGTCTTCTTATGGTCGCGAAGATTTCGACTTCTTGTCTTCCTCACTCAGGACAGAGCTCATCCTCAGTCCACACACAGCAGTCACCCAGTGCTGTCCTTTCCATTAGGGAAAGGGGAAAGACCTTCAGGGAAGGGGGAGTTCTCATCTAAATCTAGGGTGGGCAGCATCAGAAGAAAGAATCATTGGAAGAATTCCATTTCCCAAAGGAAGGCCGTATTTAGTAATAAGAATGCAAAGATGTGTATTTTACTCAAGAATAGAAAGGAGTAAGTTTCTTCAAAGCCGCTCTGACAGAGCTGCATCTGAGCCTACCTGTCTTCCTGACTTTGGGCTGAGAGACCTTGGGCAAGCTGTTAAACCTCTCTGGACCTGAATTTCTCCATCAAGAATACAGATGATCTTTGTAATACTCAAAAGACTGCTGTGACGATTCAAACAAAACCAGAGCTCTGATAAACTGTGGGGTCTGGTACTAAATATTAATTCATTTTAGTAAAGAATAACCACATATTCTTTAAAGTCCACACCTCTTTATTTTACATACTTTTCCTGCATGCATGCCTGTGTACCACATGCATACAGTGTCTGTAGAGGCCAAGAAAGGATGTTAGATCCCCTAGACCTGGAGTTACAGATGGCTGTGACCTACCATGTGGGTGCTGGGAATTGAACCAGGGTCCTCTGGAGGAGCAGTCAATGCTCTTAACCTCTGAGCCATTTGTCCAGCTCTACACACAGTATTATTTTGACAAAATGGAATTATGACTGGAGGCTGTAGCTCCTGGAGGCTATGACACTGGCCCTCTTGTCATCCCTGGGGTTGACACTGACTCAGGGTCCATGACTTCCATTGTTTGTGAATGGAGGAAAGCATAAGATGGACAAACAAGTGCCGTGAAGCAAAGCGAACTTTCTGGTAGAAACTGATGCCACGTTGATTCTCTTCTCTGTTCAGTTCAAGGAAGTGACTGACTTCTGGCTGATGGGGTAGGTGAAGGGTGTTGCTCTCCACCACCAAAAGATGACCAGGGGCCTGGCTGCTTTATTCACTTGCAGATGACTGAAATCAAGCCAAGGTCATGTCTCAGAGTCTCACAAAGAGGCCCCAGAGTAAAGCAAAAGTCTCCAAAGAAAGAGAAACTTTATGGAGGGGTAGGGAATGGTGGCATGAATCCTCTTCCAAACACAAAAATTTCATAACCCTGAATCCAGAGTGGGCTCAATGGACAGCCTGGGTCATCTGCTCAGTGTGTCATGTATAAAGTACAGTAGTTGAACTATCTGATTTCTTTATTCTCCAGCTTGTTCTTGGATGACCCGCTCCCTGGACTGCCTCTAAACTGCCATGCCAAACCATCTCTTCTAAGCAGCAGGCTGTCCTGTCCGACCTGTTTCGAGAAATTCAGAGGCACTCATAATCAAAGACAACCCCCTGAAACATTTTCCTCTTTCCTTTAAAAACCAAAAAAGGAAAGAAGGCAGCGCTCACAGGAGGGTTCATCAGTGAGAGAAGTTCTCCTCACGGGGCATCTTTAAAGTTAGCTGGGCTGGCAAAGAGCTTGCCTATGAAGGTCCTAGGCTCCTTATAGTTCTCCTAGACTCATGTGTGCACACACATAAACACATGTGCACACACATAAATACATGTGCACACACATAAACACATAAAATAAGCATAGGACTGTTGTCATATTGTAAACTCCTCTAAGTTGTTACATGGAAGTGCCCCAGGTGTGTGTGTGTGTGTGTGTATGTGTGTGTGTGTGTGTGTGTTTAAGTTGGATTAACCCCAAGGCACCTTCCACTTTTTTGTTCCCTGGGCAGGATCTCTCACTGTCCTTGAACTCATGCCTAGTGGCTTGGCTGGCTGGCCAGTGAGCTCCAGAGAGCCATTGACCTGTCCCCTCAGTGCTGGGATTACAAGCAAGTGTCCCCAAGCCTGCTTGTGTGGGTTTGATTTGTTTGTTTGTTTGTTTGTTTGTTTGTTTGTTTGTTTGAAGTATACATTCTGGGAGATAGAACCCAAGTTCTCATGCTTGCCAGAAAAACTCTGTATTGTATGAAAACTCTCCCAAGCCCATGGCAGTAGTTTTAAATTATGGACTTAAATCCTTAACACAAAAAGGGGGAAAAAAAATACCATCAATACCCCAAAATCAAAATATGGCTTCCAGTATCATAAGCTTGCCTGACTCAATTTAGCCAACCACATTTCAAGGTAAATCAAAGGAAATGTCATGAAAA